ATCAATTCATATGAATTTCGAGATTTAGTAGATTATTTAGTAGATTAGCAAGATATGTCCACTATTTAGTGTAACCCCATAGTAACAGGTCCATTTCCATTTAAATTACTTCGAAGGTCTTGGGTTAATTTAAAGTTCACGCAGGATACTAGATGAGGTTAGAGAAGGAAAGTACTCCACTCGGAGACCTTTTGGTCCATTGTGTTCATCACAGGATACTAACTCTTCCTGCCGAATAATATGGATGTAGGTCTTGTATTTGCTATATCGACCCAAATCTCTATTCTATTCACTATATATATCCACGTTTCCACTTGAGCCCCATACACCGCCGTATTTGTATTTTTGAATAGATTGAACACGTCCTCGCTAAAAAAAGGCTCAACTTAGTTCAGACTTCGAATTTTACTCCATCTAATCAAAACGCTGTTTTGATACTCCATTCAAATTTCTATAGTTAATGGGAATAAATTTTGTATTTTAATTAAAAGGAAGATTCGAATAGATTTAGTTTTTCTGAAGGCTCTTCAAATTTAAGATATTTGTTCTGGTATCTGTTTTTACTTGTTTCTTTTTTCGAATACAATAATCATGTATCTTTTCATTTGTATTTTATTGTTTTTGGAGATACCTTTTTCTCCATTTGTTTAAATATTTTTCAAAGCCTTACACACTTTTATCCTTTCGACATTCTTTTTTTTCGAGTTGGATGTTCTCTTAACAAGACATGACGTATCTATTAATTATAATTACAATATTAGGTTCGTTGTGCCCTTATCAATATAAACATTTACTTATCCCCGGGATCATTATATAAAGAAACAATACTTTTAGCAAACCTTCATTGGGCCCAATTCCAGCAAACAAGCGCTTACACAGACACACATAGACACCGAAGCATAGTAATTATACCAAACTTATGTTTACGGGCCCATTCAAATTAAACAGTTTCTTCCCAACGCAAATTGAATTCCAGGAAAAAGGGATCAAAGTTGGATTTTCATTAAACAAAATTAGCCTTATCAACAGCTTTGTTTCGGCAACAAAAAAATCTCCGAAAGGACAAGAGAGAAGAAACAAAGAAGCTTTCTGCTTTTTCTTTCTCATCTTAGCTGTTATCAACCCAGTTAGGTTGCGCATGTAGTGGATGTAAAGCAAAGCAACCAAAGAAAATTTGGAAATTTGTTAATCAGGCTAATTAAAAATTCGTAAATGTTACTACTTTTTACTTTGTTTTATCGACGGAAATATGAAGAAAAAGAAACAAGTAAAAAACACAACAGCAACCTAAAACATTTTCCCATCTGACCCTCTTTAAAGGTACGGTGTTAATCAATTTTAGAGAGACATGCCTTTCGGCAGAATTTCTTTCCTCTTTTTCTTTTTCAAAATGTTTCTAAATACAATATAATTGTGTTGTGTCATTGCCTTGAGGCTCTTACCTTCAATTAACCGAAATTAGTTATGGTCAATTTATTTTAATTTTTAATTAATTTCCCTTTTGCGAAATAATTATGAATAAAGTGTTGGGAGGCAGGTATATTATCGACGCATACAGATACAAAATAGTTGATGATTATTTTGTGGAAATCATTACTTGCGGCAAGATAAGAATGGTTTCAAATAAAATTCGATATCAGGTGCCCATTACGTCTGCTGTTCAAACCATTGTTTGGATAGTCTTGCCTCATATGAATGGGTCAACATCAAAATTCCTATATAAAGCTAAAATTCTTAGTATATTTCTTTTTGGCGGCAGCCAATATTGAAATGAATATTTTGTTAATATAATATAAAGTCTTCATAACACCATTTTTTATACAGGGTGAGATGAAAAAACTGCAACCAACTTCGTACCGCCAGATTTTACAATAATTCTAGTGGCAGCTTATTATATTGTTTACAATCGTACAAAAGCATTTAGGTGAGAATTTTCCAGAAAACAAGTTATTCGTGATGGAATTCAAGCGTGATAGTGATAGTTATATTTGGCTGGAAAATCACAAGGTGCTATCGTTAGAGCATTTAACTGTGAATAAGTAGTTTGTGTCTCGTACCATCGCTCGTTACCGTGATACTGGAATCGTAGCCCGACGTCAAGGAAGTGGACGGAAGAAAACAGAAACATCAGCAGATATGTTTCGAAAAGTTAAGAAGCGAGTTGATCGAATCCTGCCGAAAAATGACTCGTGAGCTGAACATATCGAAATATTCCATTAGGGAAATATTGAAAAATGAGCCATTGAAAGTCGAAAAAGTGCAAGAACTTACACCGCAACAGAAAAAAATAGACTCAAAAGGTTAAAAAGTTGCTTCGCTTGGCCGAAAGTGGTGAACTGTCGAATTTGGGTTTCTCCGGTGAGAAAACGTTCGTTGTGCAGCAGTTTGTAAACCCACAAAATGATCGTGTTTACTTGCCAAAGAGGTCAGCGTTTTCCAGTGTAACTTGTATATGGTCGAATGCTCGGTCTTTTAAAAATAGAAGACCTTCACAAGATCTTTTGCAAATTGGAGACCACAATTGGTCAGTTTACTATTCTTCAATCTAAAATGAAAAAGTAAAAAGCATTTAAAATGACGATCTTTTATTACTCTCCACTATGAGACAAAGGACTTTTATGAATAAAATTCAATATTCCAATGAATTGCATTTTGCAATGGAAATGCAAGTGAAATCGGTTGGAAACTGCAGTTAATGTCTTCAAAATACAGTTTAGTGGACGCTAACGTTTCTATACAGTAAGAGTTATTTTCTTGCGAAATGTAGTGAAAATGATCAAAATACCGCATATAAGGAGGTACGTTTATATGGGGGCTATAGGAAAACGAAGACCTATGTAGGCAGTTGTCTGCTAAAGTAGATGGTATCTATTGCAATCGGTAAATATCAAATTCAAAGAAATTCCATGACAAATTAGCCTTAATCGTCGAAATAACGAATAGGGGGGTTATACGAAAATGTAAACCTATCAGCCACAAGATTCAAAATCCATTACCATTAATAAATACCAAATTTGAAACTATGGAACAACTCTAGTTTAGTAAAAACTCTTAGATTTTTTCGAAATTTTTTCCAGAGGTAGGTATTTTTACCCTGATCCCGGGAAACTATTTTTTTTTTGGGGACGGACCCGGGACCCCAGATTTTTGACCCAAAAGTCCGGGATCAAGACCTGGACCCGGATCCACTTACCCGATATAGACAATATGGGTATCGATTGAAAGCTTATGGAAATACCTATCCAACAAGTGGTCAGATGAAGGGGTAAGTTGTCATGGTTCGGAAGTTATAGTCAAATCATCGATTTTTTGGACCCGGATTTTTTATGAAACCCCCAAAAAGTCAAAAAAGGGCCCATTATAGGGGTCAACAAAATTGTTTCCAAATTATAGCTGACACTCTTACCTTTCCAAAATGCTACAATTTGTGCTAATACCTTTTTCGGTTCCAGAGATATGGGTCTTTCCATCCGCATAACCCGATTCTAACCAGTTCATTAAAATTATGTTTTTAATAAAAAAAGTGTTTATTTCGCGTAGCAGTCGTCGGAATAACAAAAGTTTTCTAAATTTGGCACTTTTTGTAAATAGCCGGCCTTCGGCCGGGGCTTGAGGTTTTCACCTATGGGTATGTCCGACCCCGGCTAACGCGAACAAAAGGTTCATAATTTCGGCACTCTTTGTAAATAGGCGGCCTTCGGCCGGGGCTTGAGATTTTCTCCTCTGGGTATGTCCTACACCGGCTAACGCGAACCAAAGTTTTCTAAATTGGATACCTTTTGTAAGTAGCCGGCCTTCGGCCGGGGCTTGAGATTTTCTCCTCTGGGTATGTCCTAAGCCGGCTAACGCGAACCAAAGTTTTCTAAATTTGACACTTTTTGTATATAGCCGGCCTTCGGCCGGAGCTTGAGATTTTCTCCTCTGGGTATGTCCCACACCGGCTAACGCGAACCAATGTTTTCTAAATTTGACACTTTTTGGAAATAGCCGGCCTTCGGCCGGGGCTTGAGATTTTCTCCTCTGTGTATGTCCCACACCGGCTAACGCGAACCAAAGTTTTCTAAATTGGATACCTTTTGTAAGTAGCCGGCCTTCGGCCGGGGCTTGAGATTTTCTCCTCTGGGTATGTCCTACACCGGCTAACGCGAATCAAAGATTTCTGAATTTCATTCTTACGCAAAATATACCTTTTTTATTGAAAACATAGTTTTAATGAACTGGTTAGAATCGGGTTATGCGGATGGAAAGACCCATATCTCTGGACTCAGTAAAGGTATTAGCACAAATTGAACCTTTTTGGAAAGGTAGAAGTGTCAGCTATAATTTGGCATCAATTTTGTTGTCCCCCATAATGGACCATTTTTTAACTTTTTGGGGGTTTTATAAAAAATCCGGGTCCAAAAAATCGATAATTTGACTATAACTTCCGAACCGTAAGATCTTACCCCATCATGTGACCACTTGTTGGATAGGTATTTTCATAAGCTTTCCAACGATACCCATATTGTCTATATCGGTTAAGTGGATCCGGGTCTAGTAGGGGTCTCGAACCCGGACTTTCGGGTCAAAAATCTGGGGTCCCGGGTCCGTCCCCCAAGAAAAAAATAGTTTCCCGGGATCATGGTTAAAATACCTACCACTGAAAAAAATTTTCGAAAAAATTGAAGAGTTTTTACTAAACTAGAGTTAAGCCGAAACTATTTCATGAAAAATGGAACGGGAGAAATCATTAAATTTAGGCTAAATCATCCCAGACACTATGCAAACTATTATACCAAATTGCAAAGCGCTTCGTCATAAAATATGGTCTGGATCTTTATTTCCATAAAATAGGTATTATTAGATCAACTTAGAATTTTATTCTGATTGCGAACATATATTTTATGAGGCTTCCGACGAAGGCAGCTTTTACATATCTTATGTTACTAACGCTAGCATTCATATAAATAGAATTATAATTAAATTATTATCCTAATATCAATAAATGGCAATGTACTTACCACTATTTCTTGCATTTGACAGACAGGTTGTCTTGTGTTGGCTTTGGATACATCATGGAATCTAAAACACCCAACTTGTTGACCGGAAGCTGTAACAACCACGTATATTATCATTTATGTAAATGTGAAGAACACAACTCATCATTTTTATGAAGTTGAAGCGCTGGAAAACATTTAAAACACAACAAAAACGAATTTCACAAACCTATTTCTCCCCCTTATTTGCAAATTTCCAAATTTTATCGACCGAATAGTCACCGTAACACTGACGCTTTCAATATTATTTCACAAATCACGACATAACTTTCTCAAAACACACAAAATTGATTAAATTTACAATATTTCAACAAAATTTCGCATCATTTCTTTGTTTTCGCCTACTATTTTTAACCGTTAGCCTGTTCTGCGTTGCCAGATTGCAGGGTTTTGCTTGAACAAACTTTAGAGTCGTATGAAATGCGTAACGGCGACACTTTTATAAAAGACTGACAATGAGCTCCATTTATGACCTGATTTAGACTAGACGAATTTGTATTGGCGATTTTCTAGAATTCTTTTTGTGTTTTCATTTTTATAAAAATATATAATTAAAAAGAACATAAAAGCCATTATAAAAAAGAGATTTGCTGAAAACAATTGCCTTGTATAAATGGGAGAGCCAAGTTGAAAAGAGAACGACAAAACTTGTCGCCAGTAAACTCTCCTAGGACTAAGGGTGCAAGTACATAAAAAGCATGAAGTCATGGCTAGGCATATTAATGTCAAATTATAATGGAAAACGACGGCAGGATTTTAGGGCAGCTCTGTAATCCCTTTGTGATATGCTACAAAATATGCTTAGCCATTCTACTTCTTATGTACTTAGCCCTTAAATTTGGATTATAAGACAGGACGTTAATAATAGGTCTGTCTGGTCACCAAAAAAAAAACTTGTAATCAAAATTAATTTTCTTGCAAACACTGCTTGTCTTCTTCTTCCAGCACAATCAATCATCTCTCGATTATCCGTTGATATTATTTTGTGCAAGCTGTTTTAAAACATTTCTATTTAAAATAAACCGTAAGTTCGTAAATGGTCCATGTAGGTCCACGTTTTCATATAGCCCCCATATAACAGTACCTCCCAATATTCAGTATTTGTATGATTTTAGCGACATTATGCACCGGAATTGTTTCAAATTTGGTATTTGAAGTTCGAAATGGATACTACAGCCTAAGACAGAAAATTGTCTGTGCAGGTTCACGTCTTCGTATAGCCCCCATATAACGGTACCTCCCTATATTTCGAATTTTGATAATTTTAGCAACATTATTCACCAGAATTGTTTCAAATTTGGTATTTGAAGTTCGTAATGGATACTACAGTCTGTGACAAAAAATTGTCTATACAGGTCTAGGTCTTCGTATAGGCCCTACCTCCCTATATATGGTATTTTGATGATTTTAGCTTCATTATTCGCCGTTTATTTCAAGTTTCGAATTTTAATATGGTAATGGCTTATGACATACAATGCCCATGTGGCACGTCGTATGGACCCCAATATTACGGCTATATTCGGTATTTTTAAGATGTAAACAGAATTTTTAACGGATATTACTTTTTGAAAATTTTCAAATTCGATCCAAATGGTGGAGGGTATCCAAAGTACAAAATATTATTCCATTCTTTTTATGGCGGGAATATAGTTTTATTTTCGGCTGGAGTACTGTATATTTACTTCTTACAGTTATCTTACGAAAAACTACTACCAGACAGCGCACTCATTGTCCTCAGATTTTGGCAGGGATGACGCCTGTTTACTTGCTAGAGTTTTCTTATAGAGAAGGAAAAAACCACCGTACTCTTTGAGGAAGAAGTTGCTGAATATTTTTTGCAAGAAAAGTAATCAGACATGCGAACACACACCTACTTCGGATGGATACGAAAGTTATGGAATAACATAAAATATGATTCTATTATCGTTTAATATCAAGAAGAAGGCAAATTATAGTGGTTTGGGTACCTCACTGGCGCAAAAGACATCTTGGATCCTTTTTATTATACCTTTATTATTATACCAATTACACCAAATCCTTTATTATTATACCAATTATGTCGATGCCAAGGTCTTAGAAAATAAGGGTTTTTCTAGACCTTTTTTTCTTCTAACTAGTTATACTACATGAGGTTATATTTGTTTATGCTTCCGTTGTCAAAATCCCAAAATGCCCATGGTTTACTGTGCCACGAACTTATCTAAATTAATAAATAAAAAACCACATAAACAGCATTACATATTACTTCTCTTTTCTTTATTAAAGAATTATGCATTTTTTTCGTATTTTGTTATTTACACAATGACGGTAGAGAATAGTTTGATAATTTCAATAAAAAAATAATGATTTAAAACGCACAGATATTGTTGTTGGTATTTGCAAAAAAATACAATATATTTTGTCGTATTCTAAAAAAAGGGTTCACGATTTAATTTCTTAGAAGCATTTACTCTCTCACTTATCTCCTAACAACAATGGCCATCATGGTTACTGTGGTCATGATGATTTGCTGTACCAGATTCGCGGTAATGGATTTTATTGTTATCTTGATTGTTTTCTTGATTTTCTAGATTATCAGCCTTTGTTGAGGTGAATTCACCCAAATCTCTTCTCATGGCATAGGCATCTTCACCATCGGCATAGTATTTGGGCTCGATTTCGATAATTTTAAATTTCAATGTATTGGTATAGAGATTTAAGGCGGCACGATTACTCTTACGCACATGCAGAGAAACATATTGGGCCTCAAAACATTCCACCATTGCTTTTGAGGCTTGATTCATAAGTTTTTGGGCCAAACCTAAACGACGATATGAGCGTTTCACAGCTAGCGATGTTATGTGACCACGTTTGCTATCCTCTCCGGATTCGGGTTCTTCCATTTTTGCCAATACATAACCCACAATATTGCCCTTGTCGTCTTCGGCTACATAGCTGAGCTGAGGCCAGGTAAGACCGTGATAGAAATAGTATTTCATTTGATAATTTTCAGGCAAACATAACAAATTGCAATGTTGCATTGCCATTAAGTCTTCTGGTTTAGCACAACGAATATTCATGATGATAGTGTTGTTGTTGTGGTTATTAGTGCTCAATACGTTTTATATATTTAGTGTAGAAAATTAAGTGGCCGTTTAGTCTTTTCTTATTTTTCTAATTTTTGCATGTGATTGTGTACCGCTTATTGAGTTAGATGTTTTTTCTGGTGTTGCCGGTGAGCCGTCTGGATTTGTCTGTCCCAAAAGTTCTCGTACTAATCTGAATTTAGACAAGAATGCTTTCCAAATTAGGAACCAGCCTGGAATTAAAAAATAAATAAAAAAATAATTTGTGAGATCTATCTAAATGTAAATAAAAAATTAAATATATACAAGGTGAGATGAAGCGACTTGATTGAAACCCGCGTCGCAGTGGCCGAAAAATGGCTCGTGAGCTGAACATATCGCAAGAGCTAAAGAGTTGCTTCGCTTGGCCGAAAGTAGTGAACGGTCGAATTTGGTTTTCTCCGATGAGAAAACCTTCGTTGGCCAGCAGTTTGTAAAAAAAATGATAGTGTTTACTTGCCAAAGAGGTCATCTGAAAATGTGCACCTTCGGTTGGCCACCAGAACTCAAGCGCCGGCCATGGTGATGGTGTGGGCCGCCATAACTGCCGATGGCTGCTCTCCGCTCGTATTAATCGATCGTGGCATCAGAATAAATGCCGAATATTATCACGAAAATATTCTGGAGGGTGTATTAAAGCCTTGGGCACGCAAACATTTTGGCGGCAGACCTTGGACATTCCAACAGGACTCAACACCATAGCACTCAGCACGCGCCACCCAAGAATGGTTCCTCACTTCATTTCCAGCGCACAATGGCCACCCAAATCTCCGGATACCAATCTGTTGGACTATTGTGTCTGAAGTATTTTGGAAAGCGAGGTTGGTAATCAAAAATACCAAAGCCGGTTTTATTAGCCGTTTAAAGGCCATAATTCGTGCCAAAGGTGTCCAATTCGAACAAATCTAAACCTATTCTAAAATTTGATGCTATTTCCGACATTTTTGCTTTCTTTCAATAAAATTTAAAAAAAAATGTAAAATGTATGGCGTTTAACTTGTCTGTTGAGGTTGTTTTATCTCACCCTGTATTTTTTAAATTGTTATTATTATTTTATATAGAATTATATAAAACTTTCTGCTTATTAAAACATTTTTATGAGTTCTAAATAGAATCTACAGCATTAATGGGCAAAATAATGAAAGAGAAATTCTTAATAGAATTTTAGAATAATAATATGTGTTGAATTTTTTAGTTTTAATCATTTACAAAATAAATTTTTGAAATTTATATGCATAGAACAGGTAACACAAAGGCGACAGTGCATGAATGCCCATCTATGAAATACAACAACCTATTTCCTATTAATATGAAGATTTTATAACTCATGGGACGGTTCTGGTAATTAAATTGATATTTATAAAAACTAACTTAATTAAGCATCTTCAAACTTGAAGTTTTATTCTGAGACTTGATTATTTCTAGAGAACTAAATTAATTATTTCGCGGTTTGATAAGGAAAAATTACTATATAATTTTTTTAGTTCTGCATGCATATGCACATTGTGTTTCCGATTCTGTTTTCCAATAATCAGTGAAAGTTTATTTCAGATACGTGTTCACCAAAATACACATGTTTAAGGTCAAAGTTTCAAATACTAACATTTTTGTCATGACAAAGCGGAAATACAGAACAATCAGTCTAAATACTATCGCTCATCGATTGATATCTGTGGAACTTGTGCGTACACACAATTAGTGACGTCACAATTTTTTACATCACCTATGGCAAAGCATGTAATTATTTAATGATCATTGTCTTACCCAATAATATGATAGCAGCAACTATTGTTACAGAAGCTAAGACAGTAAAAATTAGTGCCAGTGTTGAGGCCAAAGACATTTTTCTTCTCTACTTCTACAATCTAGATTTTCTTAATGAACTCTTTGTTTTCTATTTTACACTTGTTTATGATAATGTTGTTACACAAAACACTAGCATATTTTCTTTATTAACTACAAATAATTTTGCTTGTTTAAACATAAAAAACACCAAATTGTTTAGAAATAATAAGAAAACACAGAGAACGCGCTGATTTAACACGAAACAATTACTAACTACATAAATAAAGTTGAATAACAACAACAAACTATACATCAAAAACATATGTTTGCTGAAAGAAATTCTAATTCTTCTTCTTGCTCTGAGCTACACTTGACATTCAACTGGAATGATTCACATAACAATGAAAGACATTAATGCAGTGGAGTGATGTAAAAGCTAACAAGATTTTTTTTTAACTTTTGTGTGGAGAAAATTCCAAGGCACAAATGAAAATTGGTGACTCTTTCAGAAAACAGGGACTTCCTTGTCTTATTATAAAATGCCTTTGTTCTCCACTGATAAAACTGTACATTTTATAATCGTTAAATATTGTAATGGTTTTTGGACACCTGAGCTTTTCAATCAATTAACTTAAATAAAAAAATAAAAAATGGGTTTAAACCTTTTTTAATATAACAAATCATATTGTCTAAATTTAATAGCTTAATCGTGATTTATTAATGATGTCCCACGGATTTTGTATGCATGATAAGCAAAGTTTATGTCTGTCGCAGGAACATCTTGTCAGACATACAAATGACATACAAAAAAATAAGCCGGAGACTTTCAGTAAAAATTTGCGAAAATTCTACTGGACAAATAAATTAATAAATGGTTAATTTGCGACCCAAAAATCTAGGAGAATATTGAAGGTTCAGTTAATAATGAAAGTAAAATTGTAATCATAATAGAGCAGGGCAGTTTGGTCCAATTTGAAATACACACAATCCGAAAGGCACATTCGGTGGTTTATAAGGAGGTTTTCTACTCGGACATGTTAAATAACAATTAGTTTGGCAATATTTTAACAAATTTGCAATTTTTATAAAAATATCTTCCACATGCAGGAAACAGATACGCTTTGAAAAAATCGAAACATGTAACATAAATGTCTGGATTTAAAATGAAAGTCCCAAAAATTTTAATGAAGGACTTTTAATCCGAAATCCAGTATGCTTATGAATCTGAACTGTATGTGAATACAAAAAATCATGCAATTTGTCAACATAAGTTTGACAATTGTCCTTTAACTCCAGCCCCAGGAAAATAAATTGAATCTTGTACGGAATGAATTATTTCTTTCTCTCTTTCAATATGATTCGGAATTCCGAGCTTCATATTTCAGTCAAATAGGATTTTAATCCATATCACCTATTTTCTGATTAATAAGTTGACATGAATTTATATTTAAAGACCTCTTAAACCTTAGCCATTACTGTATGTGTTTTATTTTTCCTGCACTTCGATAGGGATTGAGGTACAAACATGACTTCTTTTTAACCTACCACGTCCATTTGACCTGGTACCAAAAATTTGTACCTCGGAATTACTGAGCATACACTTTGCTGGATATGTGTTGCAGAAAAGTTTAAAAAAATATATACAGCAAGTGCCAGAATGTACATATAAGTTTTTGAAATAAACACTGTTCATATTATGGCATGTCCCTGGACGAGGTAGATGCATAGCAATTGGTGCCCTGAAACCTTAACGCCGACTGTGACAATCGTGCTTTCATTGAATGGTAAGGGATGATAAGTATCATTCTACAGAAAAACACATTGGAGCTGCAAGTCATCACATTAGCTAACTTCGAAATCCGCTGGAAGATTCACATCAAGGAATCCTTTTATTTTTTCTCACCAACAAATTGTTCATATTCTTCAACTTTTGTTGTATACAGAGGTTAGAATTTTCACGAAAGAAGAAGGAAGCAAGGTTTTGATAAATAACATATATTAATTCAAATTTAAATACCTTATGTATAGATGTTTGTTGCAAATTTTTATTAATCCTTCAGCTTTCCACAAATAGTTATAAATTTCTTATTGCTGCTAGAATATTACAAATAAAACACCACGCGAAAATTGTATATACGACTGGGGCAGACAAGAACAGCTGATTACTGTGAAATGACAACATGTTCTACTACTATTTCTGTTAACGGCAACTACTGCGGAATGATAACTCAACCTTATTTATATTAAGAAATATTCAAAATTTAAAATAAATTAGTTTCAAAAGTAATAGCAAAATGGAGAATGTACATATAAATATAGTTTTTAGGATTATTTAATTAATTTTTAATACATAAAATAATATTTTTGCTAATGCCTACTACTTTTTATACAACTGTGGAAAAATGACAATTGTAGGTTATGTTCAGCTGTTCTGATTAATTTCCCCACCACTGTTGTTTATTGTTATTTAATATTAAGAAATTTATATAAAATAATTTAATCACAATGTTGCGGAAGGCGAGTTTTATTCTTGGTAATCAAGTTCGTTTGAATGCTGTTTCATTGTGTCGTCCATTTGCCTCGGCTCCTGGTGCTGCAGGGAAACAGGAAAAATGGGATTTGTATGCCGGTGTGTTGGTTGAACGACTGCCTATTGTATCCAAGGAACTGAACGCCTTAGAAAAAGACTTCCAAGAATATTTGTGGCGTGTGGAATTCGAGAAGTCGCTTAAATCCGACAGCGAAATCCAACACGAACGAGATTTAAAACAGGCTGAACTACTTAAGAAAGGCCAAATAGATCTCGATGAAGCTGCCTCCAAACAAACTGCACAGGATCTAAAAGATGCTTACACCGAAGAATTGAATAAATTCGAAAAGGCTCCACGTACAACGGCTGATGACAAAACTAACAATGTTTTGTCTACAAATCGTTGTTTGGACGACAAATTATATCTTTTGGTGGAGCAAGCTGTTGGTTCCAAAAAGCATTTCCTCTTGCCCCAAGGACCCCGTCTGGAGGGTGAAACAATGCGCCAAGCGGCCGAACGCATTGTACGCGAAAAGTGTGGCGAACAATTGGATTTGTTGTTTTACGGCAATGCCCCTTGTGGTTTTTATAAATATAAGTATCCCGCAGCAGTGAGAGATCAGTCGGTTGGTGCTAAAGTATTCTTTTTCAGAGCTTCACTTAAAAATGGCAATGTCGACAAAAATATTAGCAAGAATTTTGCCTGGATGCAAAAGGATGCTTTGGGTAGTAAACTAAGTAACGAGCGATACGTTGAAAGTGTTCAAAAATTTTTAGTTTAGTTAATGTTTGTTGTGGAGAAATAAAGTTAAACTAATCATTATACTTGTACATTTTGTTTTATTTTTTAGCATGGAAGGATGTTTGGTTTATTTGAAGTTTGAAAATTTTTGGGATAAAGTGAAAAATGTTAAAATTCTATATATAAATTTAGAAAATTTACTTGACAAAGCATGATGTGTAATCTAGCTTTTACGCTTCGATATTATATAACCCTTAAGAAGTCTAAATATCGTATTGTAAGTAAATGTGGTTTAAAATGTAGCGATAACAATCTGCTAGTTACTAAATTATAGCCAGTTTAATCCGAAAACATGTTAAACACTTTCGAGATACCTATAAATAGACGGAATCATTGAAGGGACTATTCCAAAACGTGTACGGATTTCGAAATATTATGTGTTACTTGAGAACTCCAAGCCTAATTATGACCATTTTTTCAAATCCATAAAATCTGGCGATACAGCTATGCAAGGGCTTTGTTAAAAAGTATATCGACTTCAAAAAGATTTTCAAAGTTGACTCTCTTAAGAGGAACATATATGCTTTTGATCAAAATGGTGGTCCTCTAGATCGACCCGTTTAAATGTAAAAGCGATCACCACAAAAAGACATGTGCAAGACGTTTAAACATTTACCTTTTTGGCAACCGTCAGGTACAATTAATTGAATGCAAGTAAATAAGTCGGTATTTATTAATCAAATGTCCGGAAATTGAATTAAATTGAAATCGTTTTTAGATAAATAGTTTTCACTTGATCAAATTTAGTAAACCAAGTGGAATTGAATCTTTAATTTATGAATTGTGAAGTCTACAAGACCTGAATATTTTAAATAACTTTAACATATGAATTGTGAAGTCTAAAAGACCTAAATATCTAAAAACAAATCTTCATCTTCGCTCTCTATTTTCCATTGTTATGCAAAGTGAATTGATTCCACACTTACCATTCCCCTGTACTGGTGATATGATTCTTCTTCTTCGTTTGTAAACAAAAACAAATGGATCGCCTTAGAGCAAAATATAATTTTATTTCTACAATCAAGAACGATTCTGTGCAAAAATGAGTAGTTGCGACAATGTAGAAATTCAAGTTAAGAATGAAGCCATTCACGACGATCCCGATGACGACGATAGCAATGTGCAGTATGAAGAATATATATTTTCACCCTACAATGTTTATGAACAAGAGGAGGAAAAACATATTCCGCTAGACGAAACTGTCAGCAACGACGAGGAAACCCCAAAAACATCTGCATCTCATAATGATGAAGCTCGAAAATATTCTCACTACAAGGAAGTCATTATTAAACATATGATGACCTATGGGTGGTCATCCCAAAGTTATGAGAGATTAATGAAAAAAGTGAGAAGAGCCCCGGAACATATACTGAAGCATACTTTAGGTAAATTGAGTGTAAATGTTAAAAAATATGTAAATGTGGGATAAATTTCCGTATTCGATATCAAATAAATTTCGTTCAAAATTAATTTGTGAATGCGCATTTTAAAATGAACACAACGAAAATGTTGATGGAAACAACTGGGGTTCAACTCTAACAACCGATATTAAATATTTCCAAATTCATTTGAATTTAGCCAATCATTGCTACATTGAATAACCGTCCATTCCCAACTAGAACTTAAGTATTCATATTTTTAGATTATGTGCAGACCCGAATAAAAGAAGCTCAGGAAAATGTCTATCAAGAATGCGACTCCCTTTGCTTTACAAACATATCAGAATGGTTAGAGGTTTTTAGGAAAATGGATGTTCCGAAACATAGTTATTATGAACCGGCTATTATATTAAGTACAATAATCAATAACGAAACACTTCCTAAAGCTGAAAATTTACAAGGAGTGGATTTGAAGTGAGTATTATTTTGTTTCTCAAATTTTTGCTACTCATTTCCAATATCCAAATTTTTCAACTACATATTTTCAGAGCAATCTATTCTTTTATTTGCAATGGTTTATTTGGTCTGCCACAACCAAATTTGGACCCAGTCACAGCAAAATTTCTGGCCAATGAGTTTGAGGTATGAAATGTTACTTTTTTCCTTTTTTGTATTACCGAATTAATTTAAAAATTCAAACTTTGCGTAGGCTTTAATTGAAGAAGTCAATACAGAAGATGCTGATCACCATACAATTTTAATGAAACAAAAACTCCAGCAATCATTACCGTTTAGAATGAATTGTACACCTCCAAGCTTAGATCCATTATGGCTTACAGAAAATACCGTAGTTAATGATTATATATTACCCAAAACAACAGGGAAACGGAAGCCTCAACGTAGAAGTTCAACAACGCAACAAGCTAAAACAAAGTATAAAAAGAAAACAAAAATTAAAAAGGAGGAAAAGGTTGCAACTATGATCACAGATGCAAAATGTAAACCTGATCCAGATGCGAATTATAATGCTTACAATGACGATGGATCTTTAGTCATGCCGAACTCAAATTTGCAGATAAAAAATGAGCTAAATGAAATATAGATATTTATTTAACAGAAATTAACGAGAGGTTCATTTTTAATTGGAAATTGTTAGAGATAATGCTTCGAAACATTTTAAAAGCGGCAGTAGCCAATTTAATTGATGAGTTTGTTAAGAGACCACTGAAGAGTTAGATGTCTAAATTACAGGCCACTGAGGGACTACATGTCTAATTAAATACAGACACAATTTTCGCGTACACTTCAAGGCATTGATTCAGAAACATACAAACCCGGGATGTCAATGGTTTAAACGACTTTACCCAAAATTCGTTACGTCAAATTGTATTCATATAGCTTCCAAATAATGATGTCCAATAAAGGATTTTGTACTTACCATACCTTAAAAGATTCTCAAAATAATCTTTGAAATCCACAAAATATACAGGGTGAGATAAAAAAAACTGCAACAAAGTCAAACGCCATAATTTCTACATGTTTTCTTTAAATTTTATTGAACGAAAACAAAAAATGTAGGAAATAGCATCAAATTTTAGAATAAGTTTAGATTTGTTCGAATTGGTCATCTTTGACACGAATTTTGGCCTTCAAACGGCCAATGAAACCGTCACACGATGCCCGAATGTTGTTCTGCAGTATTTTGGCCCATTCCCGGCGAAGCGCTTGCTTGAGTTGATCGATACTTGGGTATTTTTTAGTGCCAACCTTGCTTTCCAAAATACTCCAGACACAATAGTCCAACGGATTGGTATCCGGAGATTTTGGTGACCATTGGCATTCATTCTGATTCCACGGGCGATGAATACGAGCGGAGAGCGACCATCCTCTGTTATGACGGCCCACATCTTCACCATTGCCGGCGCTTGAGTTCTGGTGACCAACCGAATGTGTGAGCTGATCTCTTTGGCAAGTAAACACGATCATTTTGTTTGTTTACAAACTGCTGGACAACGAATGTTTTCTCATCGGAGAAAACAAAATTGGGCAGTTCACCACTTTCGCCAACCGAAGCATCTCTTTAGGACTTTTGAGTCTATTTTCTTTCTGTTTCGGTGTAAGTACTTGCACTTTTTGGAATTTCAATGGCTTTACCACGAGATCATTTTTCAATATTTGCCGAATGGAATATTGTGATATGTTCATACTTCTCGAACCATTTCTGCTGATGTTGCTGTTTTCTTCCGTCCAACAGTGTCACGGTAACGAGCGGTGGTACGAGACACAAAAGATTTATTCACATTTAAATGCTGGAGTGCTCTAACGATAGCCACTTTTGGTTTTCCAGCCAAATATAAAGAAGCCACCCTATCACGCTTGAATTCCATCACGAATAACTTTTTTTCTGGAAAATTCTCACCAAAATGCTTGTACACTTATAAACAATATAATGAGCTGTCACTGGAATAATTTTAACAGCTGTCAGACGAGTGGCTTAGAAATGACAGCAGTCTAAAATTGGTTGCAGTTTTTTCATCTCACCCTGTATAATCTGTAGAATATTCATTAAAAAATCTATTACAAACGTTGGACAATCACAATCTTCTTAGCAACACTGGTTTAAACAGCTCACGCTGTCAAACATCTTCAGTTTGGTCTATAATTGAATCATGAATTGCCTTACAAACGAACAGCACTTGCAAATCATTGAATTTTATCATCAAAATGTGTTAAGAAAGGTCATCGCGAGCTTCTTATATTATATAGATAATCTCATTTTTGCTCAATGAGTAGGTAAATAAACAAAAATGTCGATTTTGAAGTTAAGATACGTCCAGAATAAGTTACAGTATCATAAAAATTTATTTCACAATTTCCTAATGCATGCGTCACATGGCCTCATAAAATGGGTAGTGCCCCAAGTTTTTTTACCTTTCAGACAAAAATAAAAGAAACAAGTAAGCAAAGGCTACAGTCGAGCGGGGCCGACCGTTGAATACCCTACAACACTATAATAAACGATACAGTTTATTTAGGCGAGATACTCGAAAGAATTGCACAAGATAGTGTGACAAATAATAAAAGAAAACAATCAGGTTTCGTTCTCTAATTTTAGAATAGCAACTTAAACTAATTTGCTCATTTCCAATTTATTGGTAGATGTTGCACTTAAATGGTCTTCCTAGATCTGGAACCAATATTTCCCAAAGATCTCAATTATTGGTTTTTGACTGAAATGCATCTATCTGAGATACAGACATTTGACTATATTCTTCAATGAAATCAGCGTAAACGAAATAGTCAGAAGTGCGTCTTTCCTGTATTTGTGAATTCTCCAAAAATTCACTGGAATGGACATTTTCTTATTTTGTCTACAAAAGTTGGCAAACTCCTTCACACATTGAATATTTTTGGATGGCCATCCAAAACTGCTTGGCTTTTGCAATGTCTGGTAACCCCCATTCAAATGTGCGTGAGGATCGGGCGATAATTACGACCTGCCGACAATTTTGCAGTTTTTTGGTCCATTTCAACCCCTAAATATATGGCGATCATCTCCAAAAAGAGTAGGCTCCTATTCTGACCCTCATCTTATCCCCATGCAAAATTTCGTAAGGATCGGGCCATAAATGCGATCTGTATGTGATATCCTGATATCCCAACTACTTAGTTTTGTTAGCTGTAGGAATATTACCAAATGTTTAATTCAAAATGAAAATATGCCAAAATAAATATGACAAAATTGAAAAAATATGAGAAAATTTTACAAAATCAATATTTTCATCTTTAGAGAGATATTTTTATGCGATTTTTTTAGACGTTTTTTCTTTCCTGCCAAGAGGCCATTCTTAATTAATGAGAACTGTCGAAATCAGTTCAGCCGTTCTCGACATATAAGAGATCTTTCAAGCATATCTTCTTTGATAGACATATATATCGCACACATTTTGCTATATATCCGATTTGTTGGATGTTAACATCAATGTAAAGATCAGAAGTAACCTTGTCATGGCTTTATGATTTCGCCGGGATTTAAAATGTTCGCGGTTTGATGAAAAATTTTGAATTTTTTCAATACAGAAGATATGGTCTATTTTACCCGCTAAATATTATCCGATGACCACCCAAATTGGTAGGCTTCTTTCCCGCCCTAAACTCCAGCTACATGCGAAATTCCGCGTCGATTGGTCTATAATTGCGACCTGTATAGCTTCTGCAAAATCCGACATTTTTTCAGTATTTGGTCCATTTCAACCCCTAAACATTTGGCGATCATCTCCAAAAGCAATAGGGTTCTATTCTGGTCCAAGCCCCACCTACATTCTAAATTTCGTGAAGATCGGACCGTAATTGCGACCTGTAGAGTGATTACAAATTAACATGGACAGACGGACAGACGGACAGACGGACGGACGGACATACATAGCTAGATCTACTCAGCTCGGCGAGCTAGGAAGATCCATATATACTTTCCTATGTGGGAAACCAATATTTCGAGGTGTTACATAATTTTTGGCCCAATCAAACTTATAATACCCCCAACACATAGTGTTGTAGGGTATAAATAGAACTAAAGTTGTTTATGCATGACTCACAAAATGGTCAGTGCCCTAGGTCTATAACACTAAGATAAAAATAAAATTAATGTTGTGTATGCTTTTTAACCAGCATACTAAAAATATAATTTTATTTATTTTTTTATATTTTATATGTATAGAACAGCGAAGACATGATTTGTAATAAAAACTTACATAAACTACATTTATATGTAAAAAAACAAATGCACTTTTTGTATAAAAATATAATTATATCAAAAAATATTAATTTTAGCACCTACGACTACTACTACATTGCAATACTGTATGAACTTTATTCCAGCCAAATGCGAGGATTAAAATACAATGCCTTATTGAATCCTCTATTCACATAATTGGCTGTCTGCAAACTTCCGTCAATTGTTCGTAATTTCAATGTGTCGGCTTGAATATTCTTAAGGATATCTTCAAAGGATGTATCATGAGCATTTTTCGCCATATTCTTAACGAAACTCTGGATGTACCACGATCCATCGGCCGGGTCGCGATGAGCCTTAAAACCCTCCGATGTGGCATAGCAGACAATCAAATCGGATAAGATGGGTATATTTTTAATTCTATGTGTATTGTATTGTATACTATCAGTCTGTACTTTATTGATGACACCATGTTCCAACATATCACCGCGACAAAATGGGAATAGGAATATTTTAGGTTTATTCACCAGATTCTCACAGACATGATGATTGAAATAATCCTCAATATCTTTCACTTTGACCACAGAGCCATCACTGAATGTAATACGCTGCACACTGTCATCCATATCACCATGGGTCATAAGTGCCATTACAAAGCACTCCGTGTTCTTCGTGTAATCTGATTTCAGAAGTTTACCCAATATGTCAAAGAAAACTTCGTGTGATAGATTCGTATAGGAGAATAACTTAAATCCCAGCTGTTTGAAGAGATACAGCAGTGAATGTGTATCCTCATCAGCACCATCTCGACGATGCGTTTCCACGGGAAAGTTGATCATATTAACCATAAAGAAAACTCCACGATTTTCTTTAGACTGCATTGGATATGTGTCCAAACTAGGATGCTTAAGTATCCTTGCGGCTCTTTTCACTTCAAACTTATCTTTGGGACAAATTTCACCAGTATACTCTTGCAGTACACTCACAGAGTCCAATGTTTTACTGCTGCTACGTCTGCGGTCAGTCTGAAATGACAAACAATGATATATAGTATAAACTTTAGTACAATGACATATAATGCGTATGTGTATGCGTCAGAATATATATTTAGATTTGATTATTTCAGGTCCAGAGGCATTTAAAAATTGTTAATGCTCCTTCAGAACTCAGAGGCCAAATCATAATAACAGCAAAGGAAAAATATGACGAAATTCTAAGCATTCTAAATGTTCCTCTAATTTTTTGCAATAATATTTTCCACCCAATCACGAAAATAAACTGGAACACTAATAAATAAGAGACTTCTAATTAAGCCTATACATTATTTTATATGAGAAAATTTAAAAACTTTCTGAAATTTTGGTCCTTCAAATATACTAGGTATGAATTTTTCGACAGATCCAAATTCGATACCTTAGTTATTCAAAATTGTAGTTGAACAACATTTTGCCTTAGACTTTAGACTTCATCAATAGGCTAATGGGGTTTGTGTTGCTCCAAAAGAAGGTGTGTTCGTCACCTAAAGTCAATATAAGGTAAGGGGTATAGAAAAGCCCCATAGAAGCTATTCCATTCAAAAATGACCTATGACCTATTACTAAAAAGTACTTAAAGAGGAATTTCCTCTCGATATATGTAACATCAAATTTACCTGCTGATAAGCTCCATCCCCATTGTCTTCATCATCATCGATGCTTATACTGCTGCGTCTACTATCATCGTTATTATTGCTGCTGGTGTTATTGTTAATATAATTAGCATTCTGTTGACAATGGTTCATTGATCCCGATGATATCGCCATTTTATTGCTCTTTATCGAAACGTATCTGTCCGGCCTCAGTATTCCTAAAGCTGTGTCATAATGCAAGGCGGCACATATATCACACAGCTTATTGAACGCATCTGGACCACGTTGGGTAATTTTCTTGAACAGTCTTCGGTGACGTTCCACTTGCTTCTCAGCATCGGATAATTGCATTTGATTTTCTGGAACACGATTAATTTTCTGTAACATTACTTTTGACAACAGATTCATAGTGAAACAGGCGTGGGATAATTCATCGAATTTTGTACATGTTATTAAGCGATCAATGCTTTTTTCAATAAGTTTACGGTGTTCATCATCCATTGTGCCGGGTCGATGTGTTTTGTTTATACGTATGTATGTATGATGTACTGTGACGTAGTTGCTCTATGCGGATTTGACAAATGTGTATGTATGTTTTTGATCTATATGTTTGGAATTGTCGTTGCTGCTGCTGCAATTTTTTTATTGTTGTTGCTGCAGTGGTAATGAAATTCGTTGGCAGTGAGTGATGGGAAAATAAATGTTTAGGAAGTAATTAAGATTCTCCTACGTTCATATATGGCCTGGGAATCTCTCACGAAAATGAATCGACGTTTTTTAGTACTGCTGTGTTTACGTTTCTTATGAATATTTCCTTTGTCTTTGTTTGATAGGATTTGATTTTCAGCAATCCTTATTTTTTCAAAAGCAAATTACGAATTATTGCCAAAAAGGTTCTAGTTTCAATCTATTATACAATTAACTAAGCTTCAGATGTCAATTGCAAAAAATTATCAAAATTTAAAACACTTAAATTGTCCTTATTGTAATATTTTTGTGGATAAAATTTCTCTCGAAACAAAAGGCAAAACGAACAACACAAAATAAAACTTTCGTACTGAACCAATCGATTCTTGGTATCCAATTGTGAAATAAAAATAATGGCAGTGTTGTTTATTCTAGCAGGAGAAAGATGATGACTTACAACGGGGATGTCAATTTGTGTTGCATGATTTGAGTTGCCATGTGCAGCGAAAATAATACTAAAGTTCGACATATTAGAAATTCATTAATAAAACATAATTATATAATTAATACTATCATTATCATATTAGCCCTGGACATATGGCCAAAATATGTGCATAAATATTATAGATCTTATACTCCACACACAAGGTAACTGCAGTTTCGTGGAACTTAGAATATATTGAAACGTACACTTTATTTTAAATTAAATAAATGTATGAATGAATGAAATAAACGTTGGAACACGTATTTCAGTATCAGAGAATGAAAACAAACAAAGCGATTATCGCACCTCTCCAACGAAGACGCAAACTTTTAAATTTTTTTTAATCGATTTGTTCGAAAATGCACTATATCAAACGTTTGCAATCGTTTCGTTCTGCATTTTCTTGTAGTAAGAAACGAAACAAAACCGATATTAAGATAACGGGAATTGTTTCATATTTTTTAAGGTGAGGGTTCATAAGCTCTTGGCATCATGGCTAGGCTTATTATAAAAGGAAACGACGACAGAATTTGAGTGCAGCTCTGCATCATGTCATAATATTCCATGTGGGGACTTCAAGCTGCTTATGTACCCACACCTTCACTGTTTGTGTAAATGAGTGGAAACAAAAACAAAACTTAGCATCGAACTAAGTCCCAACGCGTTCACTCTACTATAGTCCTTATGTATTTGCCGCTTACTTGTTATTTTAATTTGACGTTTCGAATACTTATGGAATAGGAATACTCCGTACAAAAAACGAGAAGTTTTAAAATTCACACAATCACATTTCCATACCAATTCCACTGATATTCTTCTTGGTCTCACATGAAAATTGTCTTTCCATACTTTTGTTATACCCTACAACACTATGTGTTGGGGGTATTATAAGTTTGATTGGGCCAAAAATTATGTAACACCTCGAAATATTGATTTCCTACATAGGAAAGTATATATGGATCTACCTATCTCGCCGAGCTGAGACGATCTAGTTATGTATGTCCGTCCGTCCGCCTGTCCATGTTAATTTGTAATCACTCTACAGGTCGCAATTATGGCCCGATCTTCACGAAATTTAGAATGAAGGTGGGGATAGGGCCAGAATAGAACCCTTTTTCTTTTGGAGATGATCGCATAATATCTAGGGGTTGAAATGCACCAAAAACTGAAAAATTTCTAGATTTTGTTGCAGCTCTACAGGTCGCAATTATTGACCAATCGAAGTTAGCATGAAGCTAGAGCTTAGGGGTGGCTAGAAGTCTTCCAATTTTGATGATCATAGGGTAATATTTAGTGGGTAAAATAGATCATTACATTTGTGTTAAATAAAAGTCAAATTTTCCATTAAACCGCGAATATTTTTTAATCCCGACGAAATCACAAATAGACGAACGGGTCAAGTCTGACTGTTACGTCGATGCCGATACTAAATAAATCGGATATATATAGCGAAATATATACAATGTGTATATACAAAGGAGGGGGATGTTAGCTAGAATGCTTATATCTCAAGAATGGCCGGACCGATTTTGCCAATTCAGAATGCCCTCTTGGCATAAAAGCATAAATCTAAAAAAATCGCATAAAAAAATGCCAGTTGTGATGTTAATATAGATTTTGTAGTATTTTTTTAATTTTTTTTATTTTTTCATATTTTTTATCGCATGCGATTTTTTCAATTTGACTTATAATATTGAAGTATACATTTTGTAATATTTTTTCAGTTTACAACACAGTTCGGGATTATTATATACAGAATGAAATTATCGTCCGATCCTCACAAAATTTTTACAAGGGTAGGGTTAAGCTCAGAAGGGCTAGGCCTATTGTTTTCAAAGATGTCCGCAATATATTTAGGGGTTGAAATGGACCAACAACTAAAAATGTCCCTGATTTTGCAGCCGTTATAAAGGTACAAATATAAACTAAAGGACACGAAGTCTCCCATGAACTTAGAGTTTAGGACAGCGGGTAGAATGGACCACTACTTTTGTGTGAAAAAATACCAACATTACTTACAGATGATATCCGAAATACACAAATATGCTGATTTCGTTAACGAATATAGCCAAATATTATAGCCAAGCAAATTATTAATATGAGTCTAAATTTGGAAACACAGAGGGGCCACTTGTTTTTGGAGATGAGCGCAAAATATTTAGAGGTTCAAATGAACCAAAAACAGAAAAAAATTCCTGACCACACAATTGAAGCCAATCAACACGCCTGCGCAAAAAGTTAAGGACAGGGAAGAATTCTAGCATTTTGGATGACCATTGGATTATATTAAACTGTAAAATGAACCACTACAACCAACAGCACGACGGAGTGCGTAAATATTGGGCAAATGTCCCTGGCCAAAATGCTAAGGGTAATATCTGGGCAGTGCTCTTTGACATAATTTCAAAAGCGATAAAGCTTCTTATATATAGTAGTGTTGTAGGGTATCACATGGTCGGCCCCGCACGTCTATAGCCTTTGCTTACTTGTTTTTATCTTGTTGAAAGTTGAAAGGTTTGTATCATGGTACAATGATATCAAGGTAGGGCTATGATACCATATGATTTTAATTTTTTTATTTTCTTGGCCTAATATGTCATCTTTTTTGTTTATGTATGTGTTTTCTTTTCATTGGTCCAGGTCCATTGCTCCAATAGATTTGTGTTATCATTTCAAGAAGCACTGACATTGCACACCGTTTTACGATCTATACAACCCTACTGGTTTTTTGTTTTGATTCCCAATTTTCATCGTTCATCCATTTCTTCTTCATTGAAATGAAGAAGATAGTTATTTACTAAATAAATAAAATTAAAAAAAAAAAACAATTTAAGTGAAATGATGGTCGATTTCGAAGCAAAACGTAATGCTTTGTTTGCATGCCTTGATGATGCCAGCAGTGAATTGAAGGGTACCAGTTTAGACCAGACAAGTGTAATTAAAAATCCTTTAAAACGCACCTCATCTGGAGGGACGGAGTTGGTGTACAGAAATTCGATTAAAAGTCCACATAAAAATCAATCCCTCGATCGTTCTCTGAAGAGTTTACGTGGAAAAGAAAGTATATTCAAGAAGCCGGAGTTACCCATATCGAGGTGTTTAAAACCCAGAACATTGCCCGATTTCAAGGTATTGCTCTTTCAAGAAGTATTTTGGACTTTTAATATTTCATACTGTTTCAGGTTAATCCACACAAGTGGAAAAAATACTCTTTGGAAGATGTTGATATTTCCGATCACACAAATACATCGGCTGCATTTGAATTTCTACGAGAAATTGATGCCCGCAAAGAAACAGATGGGGATGACGAAGGTCCAGAAACTGTACAGCACAAGAAAATTGAATTTAAAAAGTCTAGCAAATTAAGTCGCAATTTTAAAACGTTAAAAGCCCAAGAACAGGAGGATGTTGAAATTGATTCGCCAAAGTTAAAGGGCTCAAAGCTTATTATGCCTGAATACGTAATTGGCGGTTCAAAGAAAACCAATAAGGTTAGCAGAGTTAAAAACGATAAAAAAGATCGAGCTGCTGGCAAATTAATGTTGTCCCATCTGCAGGAAGAAGACGAAGAAGAATGAATATATTTTGTAAATATCAGTGGATTTTTAAGAAATATAATATTTTAATAAGTATTACTCTACTATTCTACTATTTCATACACATTTTACAGATGCAAGTTAAATTGACGTGCTGCATGTTTCAAATCTAAACTTTGTCACCAAGCAATCATACATTTTTTAATATTGGTTCGGTCATAAAAGGAAGTCTGATATTTTGTGTAGATGTAGTTAGGATGATTTTCAAGTGCTAACATCAATTTAGCAATAGCACCGAAAATTGACAGCTTTGCCTGCTAAAATATATTTAAAAATGTTGCCCATTAATGAGCAACGCCAACAAATAGCAATAACAAGATTAGCCAAGGGATTTTTTCGAATTCTTTTTTTTACTTTGATAAATTTAGGAACCTTTAAAAAAATATGGTAAATTATAAATACTTTAAATTTCTCTTCTGTTACATGTTGAAATGTTTTCGATTTGGGCTTTTCTTGGATTTCTTTTTATATTCCGAAAAGGGCAAAAGTGGCGGTGGTGTACGCAACATCCTTCTGGAAACCTCACTTATTGTCTTTTCACTGCCTGAACTGTTGTTGTTGCTCAAGGTGGGACTGCGGGGTGGGGCATAATGCGATCGAGCCGTTTGTGTCAATTGTGGCATACAGTCTACCACCGGCATAACACCACTGCTATCTTGGGTATTCTTATGACGGGAGGGATACCGATATCGTGGCTGTGCTGCAACGGGTGGTTTTACATAACGTGACTGTTCCAATCGTCGTTCAAAATACGCAATATATTCTTTTAATTTTCTTATGCGTTCGCGTTCTTTCTCCTTAGTTTGCGTTAATTTTATATGTAATTTATTAAAAGCTTGCAACTCTGCGGTGACCTTCTGGATTGCTGCTTCATTTGTCCTATACAAATGGATGCCGAGACTTCGTTCTTGATCGTAATGAAATTTTGCAACTTTTTGATAGTGACGATAGCTTTTGATTGGATCATCGAAATATTCAAGCATTGATGCTGGCATTTCCTTTTGTATGGGAATTGCGTTGTAGGATTTCGAGCAGATGCGACACTTGGATTGGAGACACTGCTGGCAGATAATGTGTCCACAACGTGAAATATTAAATAAACGTTTTGGTTCCAATTTACGAGTGCAGAAACATTTATTGCAGTGCAAAGGGAACATTTTGTTTGTTAGATTTTTTAAAGATATTACCAATGGAAAGGCTTAAATCACGCAACTTAATCACAAATGTAACGGTAAATATTTTAAGTGACGATGTCAATGGGAAACTGCGGGACTACATGTGAACAGTGGTTAAATAATTTCCGCTAAATTGGAGAAATATCTGGGTATAAAATCTTAAAAGTTTAAATTTACTGACTCACTTTTCTTTCCGGATAATATTAGCTTTTAGCTTTTTTCTTTTCTTTTTAAGTCAACCAACCAGCAATAATAATAATAACAATTTACAACTTTTATTTGTAATAATGCACCTTTCGAGATATGTCATACGTCACTTATTGCCATTTAACGCCACTCACCAAGGTAGACAATTGTGAAACTTTGGTATGGCAACACCTTTGATAACGGTTTGAAAAAAATGCCAGTAAAATGATAGACGCTTCAAAACGTAAACAACAATGACCGACAAATAATTTATTAATTTTTGTTTTGTGTTAAAAAATATACTATATAAAATTGTACAGAAGATGTTAAAATCAAAAAGAAAAAGCTTAGCTCTACACTCTCGCGAGTGTATTAAACGTGCAAATATAGAATTTGACGTAAATAATTGTAGGTTGTGAATATCGGTTCCTATCTTCTCGACATGAAAGTCCAGTGTAAAATTTATGTGACAGCCTCTTTTTTTTGAAAATTTGAATGCTCTTGCTTGAATTTCCTTATAAAAAGGATGACTCATGTGGAAACAATTATCAAAGGGTCGCAATACTAAGAAATGTGTACTGTGTCCTATTAAATGACAATGTGATTGAAATGTGAAGGTATTCGAATTAAATTCGTATAATTTATATGTTCTAATCTCAATCTTTTGTAGATTACAGGAAAAATATAAAAGAATAAAAAGGAATAAATATAAAGAATATGTATTTAATTTTGTGCGATTTATTTGCTGATTTGGAAAATAATTTTTATGCATTGAGATCTTTGTCTAGCAGTAATGTCAATATACATATTGAAAGTACTGGCAGAATTGTTGCTTTGTGGAGTGGACCAAGTGAGTACAATTTTATTATTTATTTATTTTTTTGCAAACAACTATTTATGATTGCAAACATATTCAATTTGTAAGACCAAAATAATTTGAATAGTATTGTCCAATCATTACGATATTTGTAGTATTTGTTCCCTCGGCCTACAGAGGGTATAAAAAATAATTACATACGATCTAATTTATTTATTTATTCATTTCATACCATAATACTAATACTAAATTGTACCACATCGAGACACATACCTCTTTGGGTGTGACCATCTTCAAGGCATTTGTTGTAGATGAAACCGTCCGTCTTGAAGAGTTTTTCTCTTCTTCATTAAAACACAGACATTTTTGAGTAATTTCCACATTTTTTTCACATGGACTATCAGAGCAGTAGTCGCGGTGGTTTCTACTTGACTATACTTGACTATAAGTTTTTCCCAATGAATGTTAGAGACTACAAATTGGAATTCCGTTCGGAAAACTTTGGTGATTTGGGTTAACCATGGATTTAGTATGATTGAATACAATCGTTTGTAAGGGAATTCGAGTCAGCTTTTAGTTTAAGAAATCTTTTCAACGGGTAATTGAAAGGAATTTTTTTTATCAGGTTTTATATGTCGTGTTTTTTTACTAGATCATAAAACATTTTTACCAATGAATAGCAGAGACCCCAAAGGGGACTTCTTAAGTGGGTTAACGAATCTTTCTAGACTCAGAGTGCACTAAATATTCTGAAACCCCTGGCTAAGCGAATTAAGTGCTAAGCGTCCGTCTGTCTGTTGAAATCACGATACAGCCCACATTTTTTGACGTGGAGCGTCCAGCATTTACCAGAACAATTCGTATTGTGCCTAGGATGGCTGTTATCATGGTACAATGAAGAGAATGTAGGTCAACTTTGAAAAAAATGCAAGTATAGAGGTCTACCTGTTTGGCTTATAATGTCAGAATTACTATCAAAATAATAAAAAAAGCAAACAACTTGTTGCATTGATTTTGAATAAATAATTTAAAACCGCGAAAACTGAATGAATGGTCAAAATTTATTTTCAATATCATGTTCAATATGTCTCTTATGGTTTATTTCGCGACAAAAACTGTAGATTTTGTCGATGCATTCGTTGCAATAAGCATTTTGAAAACACCCGAATTTGAATATATTCTGAACAATTTTTTATTATTGAAAAGAAGAAGCACACATAAGCAAATGAAGTTGACATATTAAGCCAGAAAAATAAAAAAAAATTACATCATATGGTAGCTCTGCCCTACCTTGAATTCATTGTACCATGGCTGTTATTGAAAATGAGATGCATCGATCCAGGTTTTGGTATAGTCCTATATAATGGTACCTTTTGACATTTGGTATTTGTTGATTTTTGCCACATTTATCCACGGCTTTGTCTAAAAATTGGTATTTGTTGGTCATAATGGGTTCCAGCTAGTATGGCGAAACCTTTTATGTAAAGGTCCATGTTTTGGTATAGTCCCCATATAACGGTACCTTTTGATATTCGATATTCGGTATTTTGTTGATTTTTCCCACAATTTTCCACAGATTTGTCTAAAAATCGGTATTTGTAGGTCATAATGGGTTCTAGCTAGTATGGCGGAACATTGTATGTATACTTCCACGTTTTGGTACAGTCCCCACACAAGGGTACCACACGATATTCGGTATGATGATGATGATTTTTATCACATTTTTTTACGGATTTGTCTAAAAATTGGAATTTGTTGTCCATGATAGTTTCTAGTTCCGGTGGTGAAACATTGTATGTACAGGACCACATTTTTGTATAGCCCCATACATTTTGATGATTTTTGACACATTTTCCAGCGAATTTGTCTAAAAATTGGTATTTGTTCGTCGTTATGATTCCTGGTTCGTATGGCGAAACATTGTATGTATAGGTCCACGTTTCAGTATAGCCCCCATATAACGGTACCTGCCGATATTCGGTATTTTGATGATGTTTGCTACATTTTTCACGGATTTGCCTGAAAAATTGGCATTTGTAGGTCATAATGGGTTCGTGTGGCGAAACATAGTATTTATAGGTCCACGCTTTGGTACACCTCCCATATAACGGTACCTTCCAATATTCGGTATTTTGATTATTTTTGCCACATTTTTTCGTGGATTTGTCTAGAAATTGGTATTTATTGGTCATAATGAGTTCTAGCTCCAGTGGCGAAACAATACATGTATAGGTCCACGTGTTGGTATAGCCCCCATATAACCGTACCTCCCGATATTCGGTATTTAGATGATTTTTGTCCTATTTTTTTTTAACGGATTTGTCTAAAAATTGGTGTTTGTTGGTCATAATGGGTTCTAATGTTTCCTTTACCCTAAGGTATTAATGTAATACTTTACTTGTTTTAAGGTGTTTCGACCCCAATGTTTAATTTTAAAAGCCTCTTCAACAGATTATTGAAGCCATAGATAGGAACATTTTTATTCTATTTTGCATAGACCATCAGAACCGTAGTCATATTGGTTTTTAGTACACTATAAAGCACCTTCAGAATGTCAGAGACCGGAAAGGGGTCTTTCTCGATATATATCTTCCTTATCACCACTAATTCTTCTTAGGGTGAACACAATGGACCAATTGTCTCTGAGTGAAGCCGTTGCCGATTCCAGTGTAGCTGCTCATCCAGTAATCTAACTTAAATTAAGTCGGCCAACGAAATGCGACTTTTGCAAAGTCAGCGTAAAAATTAACTCTTCTGAAAATCATTTAATTTTAGATTGAAAAAGAGATTGCATAAGCAGATTTGGTGTGAAATCAGCATAGGTATAGCTCCCGCATATGACTTTCTTCTGATATCGCTTTTATCGCCTAACAACCCCGAATATATTGCTAAAATTGTTAATAAAAACGTTTGTAACACCTCCAAATATTCGCCGTAGACCCCATAAAGTATATATATATTCATAATCAGCATAAACTTCTAAGTAGATTTTAAGCGTTCATCTGTCTCGAAATCACAATGCAGTTCACATTAGCTGTCATAGAGCTTTGAAATTTTTCACAATGGTTTGTATTGTGCCTAGAATTATTGAATTATATTGGTAGAATTATTGAAGACATATGTCGGCCCACGTTTTCCTATAGCCCCCATACAGGGTGAGATAAAAAAACTGCAACAAAGTCAAACGCCATAATTTTTACTTTTTTTTCTAATTTTATTAAATGAATGGAATTAAATGAAATGTTAACATAAGTTCAGATTTATTCGAATTGGTCCCCTTTGGCGCGAATTATGACGGCCAATGAAACCGGCACACGCCGCCCGAATGTTGCTCTGCGGTATTTTGGCCCATTTCCGGCGAAGTACTGCTTGAGGTGATCGACACTTTGGTATTCATCAGTGCCAACCTTTCTTTCCAAAATACTCCAGACACAATGGTCCACTGGATTGGCATCCGGAGATTATGGTGGCCATCTTGCTCTGGAAATTAAGCGAGGAACCTCATTTTGTAACCATTCTTGGTTGGCGCGTGCTGAGTGCGATATTGCTGAGTCCTGTTGGAATGTCTAACGTCTGCGGCCAAAATATTTGCGTGGTCAAGGCTTTAAGACACCCTCCAGAATATTTTCGCGATAATATTCGGCATTTTATCTGATGCCACTTTCGATTAATACGAGCGGAGAGCGACCATCGCTTGAGTTCTGGTGGCCAACCGAAGGTGCACATTTTCAGCTGACCGCTTGGGCAAGTAAACACGATCATTTTGTTTGTTTACAAACTGTTGGACAACGAATTTTTTTTCATCGGAAATAACAAAATTCTGCAGTTCACCATTTTCGGGCAAGCGAAGCAACTCTTTAGCACTTTTGAGTCTATTTTCCTTCTGTTGCGGTAGAATATGCTCAGCTCACGAGCCATTTTTCGGACACTGCGACGCGGGTTTCGATCAAGTCGCTTCTTTACTTTTGTAACCATTTCT